TAAATAAAATCATTGGAATGAATTTGGAATGACAATTACCTTTTAGGTGATGTGGCGGTGAAAATGTTGAATGTGACAGCACCTACACCTCAGCAGTTACAAGCCTTCAAAAATGAAGTAGGAGTACTCAGGTGAGCTTGTGTGAATTACTGTTTTCTAGAGAAAGAAGCTATTTTCATTAGCTCCTGTTTTGCGATGGTAGCCACTGTTAGCTTTATAGATTTGCTCAAAATGGATAAATATGTAGAAATAGAGTATATTTGAGTGTATTTTATCTTTAACCATATTAAGTGGTGTGTAATATTATGTAGTACATCTGATAGAAGACTTAATCCTACACTGAATTAATGGAAATATAGTATTCTGATCATATAAAATAATAGTTCTACTTATGGAAAGAATACTCTTAAAATTTTAAGCTTATCAGAACACATTTAGAGATTGTATTTAGTCTGGGCCCTGGAACTTGATGAAAATTGACAAACTAGAATTTGTCCAGGGGAGGACCACCTAAATTGGGAAGATTCTAAGACTATAATTTAGGTGAAAAATAGTCAATAGAACTGAGAATATTTAGTCCAGGGAATACTATTATGTTCAAGATGGTGCAAAGTTATTTCAGAGAGCAAAAAAAAAGTTATTCCAGAGAGTACAACAGGGAAGCCAGTGGTGGAAATCGTGGGACAATGACTCTGTCTCAACACAAGAAAAATTTTCTAATATTAGAACCAATTAAACAGAGAGGTAGGGGTTAGCTACATACTCAGTGATGAGCTTCCCATAATTGAAGGTATTTGAGCAATCTATAGTGGTCTGTCAGATATATTTAAAAAGGTATTTCTAAGTAAGGTAGAAGGTTAGACCAGACAATTCCCAGTTTCTTCTAAATTCATCCTTCTATTGCTTTTTTGTTGTTAATATCTTTTTGTGACATCTTACTGATAGGTAGGCTGCTTTGGCTCTCTTTTTTAAGAAATTGCTAAAGTTTGTCAATATTTACTGTTTACTGTCACAATTCTTTTTACAGGAAAACACGACATGTGAATATCCTACTCTTCATGGGCTATTCCACAAAGCCACAACTGGCTATTGTTACCCAGTGGTGTGAGGGCTCCAGCTTATATCACCATCTCCACATCATTGAGACCAAATTTGAGATGATCAAACTTATAGATATTGCACGGCAGACTGCACAGGGCATGGAGTAAGTTACATTCTGTTAAATCTCTTGTAAATTTACTTTTGAAGACCATTGAGGATTTTTTTTTAAGACTTTGGTTGATATTCTTTTGGATTGCATTTTAAATTACTGTCTAACAGTATAAAGACACTAACTAATGGCTAATAATATGATACTAAAAAACAAATGTCTTTCTCTAGTACAGTCTTTAAAACACATATCATGTATATCAAGTATTTGATAATAAATATGACTGCAAAGTTATGTTTAGTACTCAATGTTTAGCTAAGCAATAAAGGTTCAGAAAATAAAAATAGGCCAAAACAAAACCCCACTAAAATATGAGTAACAGTTGTTGAAGTATGAAAAATGATTATTAATTAGTTATCCTTTAAAATCATTTTCTCTATGTGCCCATATTTTCTATTGCAAGATGGTCAGTTAATAAAGTTTAAATGAAAATATGCATTCTGATCCTTTTTGAGGATTTCAAGTTGAGTTGTTCATATCTATGGAATTTTGCTATGTAATTTAAAGGATAAAGAGTTACTTTATAAAACTTATCATAGGCTAAAATGGGGAACTGACTTGAAAGGATAAGTTTTGTGTACAACCCTTAAGTGCAAATGAACAGGTAAATCACAGGGTAAAAGTAAATAAATTTTGAAAGCACTTAGATGAAAATTGTAAACTCAATGAAATATAAATCTGAAAGCTCTGTGAGTAGTTTAAAAATAGGTATGATCTTAATATTTTATAGTATATAAATCACTTTCACATGCATAGATTATCTCATTTAATCTTTATAATATTATAAAAGACATTTTTATTTTCTTTTTACAGATAACCGAAGCTTTTAAGTGACTTGTCTAAGGCCACACATTTAATAAGTGGCAGCAAAGGTGTTTAACTCAGGATTTATTTCTGAGTCCCAATCCAGTATTCTTTCCCTATAACCACTCTACTACTTTTACATTATAAAATTAGAATAAAAGAGTAAAAGGATATACATGTACTAACACCCACAGCTGTGACTCAATATCACTTATAGCAAGTAAATGTAGAGCCAGGACTCAAAACCAGATCTGGCTGTTCAATCTCCCCACTGTACCATCTTTTCTTTCTCAAAACTAGGCAATATATCTATAATTTAGATTGTTTACAAGCCTATATTCAGCCAAAATGCTTATTATAGCAAATTATGACCTTATTCAGTAACATTGCCACATATCCACTAGACTTAAAACAATCTCAGCCTTTCACATGTTAGAATATGAATCTGTTCAACTCTAAAACATTATATTAAACTCTTGTGAAGAGTAAGCCATGGCAAAAATAGTGAACATTCAGAGAGAAACAAAGCTTATTCTTTTCCTATACCACCGGTCTCTTTGCAGTTTCTTCAGCAGGCCAAGCATGCTCCTTCTTCAGGGCCTTTATACTTGTATTCTCTTTGGGATACTCATGCCACAGATACCCTTATGTCTCTGTTCATATGTCCCCCTTCAAGAGAAGTGTTCTCTGATCATCTTATAAAACTAACATTTCCCCACCCCACCCTGTCACTCTGTACACCCCATCCTTGTTTTTCTTTATAACACCCAGCTCCATCTGATTTGCGTATTGTCTGTCACCCCTATTAGAATGCAAGCTGAATGAGAGCAGGGGCTTGATTTTATTCATTGTTTCATACCTAATGCCTAGAATAGGACCTGGCCTATGATAGGTACTCAATACATATCTGTTAAATGAAAAAATGATTACATACAACTGCGTATTATTGATAAGTTTATCTTCCAAAAGAGAGAGAAGCCAAATCCTTCTCAGTCAAAACCGAGAAATGTCAAGAAAGGAAATAATAGTCAAAGAAGTAATAAAAGAGAACAATAGAGGAGAAAAAGGCTTTTGATATAAAAATGGCCAGCAAGAATATTAGTAGTATTAAAAATTGTTTTTAGAAACAGCAATGGGGCAGTGAAGTGCCAGTATTGATTAAGATAAGAAGTGATAGTAGAGAAGAACACTATCAAATTGAATAGCTCTGCAGTCTGGGAATAGAGAAGAGGTGAAATTTTTCCATCACTTTACAGTTTCAGATTATCAGGGTAAATTTAGTCTATCTACTCTAAAACACTTTAACATTTTTAAATAGCTCTCACTATGTAGTGAGTATACCTGGCTATGAACGTAAATCATTCTATCTGGTTTATCCTAGACTTTAGTAGCTAAAAAAGTACTAATTATAAGTTTTAAGCCTTCTAGCAGAGTATACCTTTTATTATCAATACTAGCTTTAAATTAACCAAAGAAGATACAGTTCCATTTTTCCTTTTTTGTTCCTTCTTATAAGATGATAACATGCAACTGGTTAAATGTACCAGTACCTCTTTAGATTCTGAAGCCTTTGGCAGATTAAAAATCCTCTTATTAAAAAGGCTATGTGGGTTCCAGGTTAAGGTAACAGGTGTTTGCTCCCTCCTGAAACTCCACTAAAACAATAATAAAAGGCCGGGCGCGGTGGCTCACGCCTGTAATCCTACCACTCTGGGAGGCCGAGGCGGGTGGATCGCTCAAGGTCAGGAGTTCGAG